CTCCCCAGAGAGAACCGACCCGCACGCCCCCCCCCCCCCAATAGCTAGCAATCCAAAACAGTCCAGTGGCACCTTTAAGACCAAATTTTATTCAGGTACAAGCTCTCCCTCTTCTGTGAGGACAGATCTGCATGCCCCCCCCCAATAGCGAGCAATCCAAAACAGTCCAGTGGCGCCTGAGTGGTGGGTGTTGCCTTCTGACACACTTCCGGTGATGTCACGGGGTGTGTCATATGCAGATAAGTTATGCCAATGAGTTATGCTAATGAGCTCCTGCATCTCTTTTTCTACGAAATGACCCCTGGTTGTGAGGATAAAAAGGAGGAGAGAACAATGTAAGCCGCTTTGGAGGAGAGAGGCAGGGAATAAATGAAATAAAATAAATAAATCCTATTTAACTGTGAATCTCACTGAGTGATCTTGGGCCAGCTCAGATGTTTCTTTATTCAGTGAGGGATATCCAGATCTGTTGCAGCATAAAGGGCATCCATGTAAATTCTCAATTCTTTTTACTCATAAGATGTGACTTAACTGTTCACTGGAGTTGGTAAGTCCTTCTAGCTAATACTTCTGCTTGAACTCCACCTCCAGCATGTTTTCAAGTAACGGTCTCCAACTAAGCCATGTGTTCATATTCTTATCACAAATCCAGGATAAACACATGGACACTGATATTCATGCACGTGTACTCATCCTCCCCTACAGTGCTCAGGTATACCAGCAGTTTTGCCCTCTGAATCCACATGCTTACCCATTATATTTATACAAGTGAGTGTGCACACTGTCAGCAACTGAAAGCTCAGCCAAGAGGAGCTCCTTGGAGACAGAACTGTCCCAAAGAGCATTGTGGGATAGTCTGTTCTCTGTTGGACTCTTGGAGCTCAGCCAAACAATAAGAGTGGAGTGATTCTTTTCCTTTATTTCCATCCTCTAAGCATAACGCCACTGATCAACACAGCTCTGAATGAAGCAAGTGCTCTACAGTTAAATGGACAAGTGCTTTGGAAGGCAGGAGCAGGGTAGTATTTAGGGCCATTCAGCCATTAGGCTTCTAATCTCTATAATTACTTTTATTCATTCTTCTACAAGAGGTATAAACCACTGACTGCCAGTGCCAGGAGGAAACATCAAGAGAAGGCCATAGGCTCTGTTGTTGGTCCTCCAGAGTAACTGGTTGGTGACTATGTGAGACAGGTTGCTGGACTAAATGGACCACTGGTCTGATCCAGCAGGGCTCTTCTTGTGTTCTTTTATAAGGGGATTCTGAGATGGTCTCCTAGTCTGCTTTGCTGTATCCCCTGCTTCAGATCATGCCCTGGGAGATGAGCCATTTCATTCCCTCCTCTGCTTGCATAGTCTGTGGGCATGCCTGCTAGTTTTACTTATTGCACACGGAAGGTTGCCAGTAAATTTCATAGACCTGGGATGTGCCCTGTAATCCTGCCCTGTATGGTAATAAAAATCAACCAGAGGCTTGGCTATAGTGAAGCTGCGTTCTGAGAGCGAAATGAGAAGATGCCACACATGGGCACAATCAGATAATATTGCACTAAGAACCCAGGTTTGATTGAGAGCAACTGTGTAGTATAGTATATGTCGCATAGTGATTAATCCAGGCTTCCTTAGGCGTATTTCTTGGTTGATGTTAGACTGTTTTAATAAGTTAATGCCAACCCCATTTGAAATGGGAATCGGCTAGCCCAGCCCAGTTCCCTCTCCTGATTTATGCATCCACTGCAGCAGTTCAGGATTGGATGTTCATCACTGTCTTAATCAATTACACAATCTTTTTTCTTTCTATTCAGACTGCCGCCACAGCAGCCCCTCCCCAACAGTCAGCCACCCCTGCTGAGTCCCTCCAAGTGGACCTCCTGCCTGTTTTGGCTGCTGCCCAGGAAACAGCAGCAGCTGCAGCTGTAGTTGCTGCCGCCACAGCTTCTGCACCAGCTGCCTCCACAGTAGACACAGCTGCCCTGAAACAGCAGCAGCCTTCAGCCTCTGAAGGTGGTGGGGGTCAGGTAGCACCAACCACGCAAACCACCCAAGCCCCAACTCCCCAGGCAGCTCCTGCCACACCACAGCAAGGTGAGGCTCAGAAGAAGCCGAAGAGCAAAGGCCCCTACATCTGCTCCCTGTGTGCTAAAGAGTTCAAAAATGGCTACAACCTGCGGCGCCATGAAGCTATTCACACGGGGGCCAAGGCTTCCCGTGCTGGACCTACGACCATGAAGATGCCCACTATGGTTCCCCTCAGCTTGCTTAGTGTGTCGGCCATCGGTGGGACAACCCCAGCAACTCCTGCCCCTGCTGAGGCAGGGAACACAACAGGGTCAGGCGCAGGGCTGGTGACCACTACAGCATCAGGCAAACGCATCCGGAAGAACCATGCGTGCGAGATGTGTGGGAAAGCCTTCCGGGACGTCTATCACCTCAATCGGCATAAGCTGTCACACTCAGATGAGAAGCCCTATCAGTGTCCTGTCTGCCAGCAGCGGTTCAAACGGAAGGACCGCATGAGCTATCACGTTCGTTCACATGATGGTGCTGTGCACAAGCCGTACATCTGCAGCCACTGTGGGAAGAGTTTCTCACGGTATGAGAGAGTAAAGGGTGCTGGGAGGAGACAATTCAAATGGGGATTATTTCAGGGCTTATCTAAGTTGGAGGTTGACTTTTTGTGAAGAGAAAAGATAAATGATTGCAGACCACATACTGAGCAGGTTGGGCTATTGGGGCACAAAAACAAAGAGGAAAGACTAGATTTTCCCATTAACCAAGCATAGGAAATCTGTACACCAGATAAAGCCTGCTGCGCTCTCAGCTTCTCCATTACCCTTGACTGCTTTGTTTGCTCCAAGGTTTTGGTTCTTTAAGGGGTTTGTAAGGAACACTGGCCTATCTTTGACACTCTTGGTAAAGGCAGCATAGGAAATCTAGTTTCTGCTTCCATTATTAGCAGCAGCTTTCTCTGAGTTCTTCTGCACATGTTCCAGCTGAACGAACGGATATGCAAGAATGGGATACAGACGTGCGAAAGCAAATCTCTTTTTGGGTGTGGTCACTGAGTAATTTTAATTTGACACTGTACAAGCCTCACCAGAGAGCTTCCCTATCACACAAGTAGTTATGTTGAAACACAATTGAAAAAAATCGGTAGGGTTTTCATTTATTTATTTTTTTGGCTGCTTTAAGATTGTACTTGTTACTGACGGTTTCCTGCTGGGATAAATGCATCCTGGCAGATCTGAGAAAGAAAAATATGAAGTCTCAGAGAAGCCGTTTAAGAGGGTAGCAGAAAATTAGTGGGAAAGGGCCAAGACTACACAGATATGCCTATAGTTTCATGGCATATTCCAGACATTAATATTAGCTATCTCAGCACCAGGAATAGCACAGGGTAAGTCCTTCGTGAATTATGTCACTTCACACATGAAGTGCATGGTTGAATATTGCTCCCTGCATAAGCAGAACTAGCATGTCAGCAATAAAGCTAGAAGTCTTCTTGAGATGGTAAGTTACCTAAAACAGAGAAGACTGGGGTTCTTTTTTTTTATGTGCAATTCCCCACAGTCCAGGAAAGTCCATATAATGTGACTTCCTGTACTTGGAACAAACAATAAAAATGAGGTCAATTTGTGGGAGGGAAAACCCACACTATGAAAACTAAACCTTCATAGGCCAATTTATTGATGGCGTTATGACACTACGCTGTCATCCAGCCTAGAAATATTTGTCTGTGTACTGAGAGTGGAGGTTCAGTTATTTGGAAAATATTTTGCATTCTAAGATACTAAATACAAGCGCAAAACTGAATAAATGTGAGAACCACAAAATAATAAATCAATCTTGAACATCTTCCACACAGGGACTAAACAGTGGAAACCCCACAATTTAGAACATAGATCACAAGAGAAGATAGTTGTAAGAGGCTGATAACAACTGTGAATACAGTAAATGTACACAGCTGCTGTTTGCCTTGAAACAAATGCAAAAGGCAGGAATGTGTACTTTTCACCAGGAATACCAAAATCTTGTATTTATTATGAAGTTGGTAAATATTTGCATATTATTTTGCATAACACTTTTTAAGAGTTCAAATAATTTGCAGTGTTTTGGCAAATTCTGGGATAACCAAACCTTAGATATTGGAAGGGATTATTTATTCATATTCTGTCCATTGATAGCAGGCATCCTGTCTTCCTATTCCCCAAGTTCCTTATTTGTTAGACATTGTTCCCATATTTCCAACATCTCCACAGTAAAAAGTGATTGAAAAAATAGCTTTAAAAACACTGGATAAGACATTCTGCAACAAATTAAGTCTTATGCGACATCAGATGAACCATAAAGAAGCAAACTGAAAATAATAACTGACTACATAATAATTTGAATAATTTCCCATAGATCTGCTTATTGGAGTTAGGTTTTTGAAGAACATGGAATTTTAAGCAGGAACATGCAGAGTACATTGCCAACTGAAAGGAGGAGAGGCCAGGGAAATCATGATTAGATAGCTAATGGGCAGAGGGAATGCAGAAGTCACAGGAGTGGGCTGTTAGGGCACTAAAATAACCACAACCTGACCAAAATGGCCTGTTGAGACCATGATTTTTCCCTTTGGGTTTCTGAGCCTTTAGCAGAAGCTGTTTTTATGTTAACACTTCTCTGTGAACTTACCTCAAAAAACTGACAGGTAGTTTGGCTGTCAGCATTAGGACCAAATTCTGCATGAACATTCATTATATGGAGTAGGCAGGATACTGACTACAGCCTCATGCTTTAGGAAGTACTTGAATATATGGCTGTGAAAGCCAAGGAAATTGATTAGTCAGCACTTGCCCCATGATTTTTAGGTTTTCCTATGAGCCCTTAGAGAATGCAGCAATGTACCCAGATCAGCAGCTCTTTACACAAATGAGAAGAAATAAACAGATTGTGTTTGTTTCTATAAAATTATTGAGTACTTCCTGGTTTCAAAGCCAGTAAAGGCTGTAATTTTGTTTTCAGGCCTTTGACTTGCAACAGTGAAGAAGCCAAAGAGTTAGCTTTTTAAGTAAGATACTTCTATATGCAATTTGAGGATTTATCTGTTACAAAAAAATTAAGTGAATATTGGTGGTGTCACAGCATAAATGTGAGCGATGGGAAGGAAGAAATAGCTGTAGAAGACAGCATCTGACAATGGGTTCTTTTCACTCTTTGTTAAAAACTTAGCAGAGACTGCTGATCATGAAGACAAGAAATTTTATAAATTCTAATCAATAGGACAACTGGTGACCCAGCCAACTTTTTCACTTAATTCTGCCAGGTTTCCCTCCTATCTAGAACCCCCTTCCCACATGGCTTTTGAACATGCAGATCCCCTGATTCCTAGCATAGCCCTTTTTTGGCATTGAAGGGACCTCTTCACCCACAAAAAAGCTGGTTGGATGCGAAGGCAAATTTAGAAAGTGCCCGAAGGCAGATTACCTATTAAAAAGCTGCTTTGAATCCCTGGGGAAAGGCAGGATGCAAATACTTAAATAATTTCAAAATCAAGTTGAGCCATTCAGAATTTTTAACAATGCATTTTTTTAATCCTCATAAACACTTGGTAATGTTGTCTAGCTCCTAGGACTCCTTTTCTACCTTCAAATGGAATCCTGACTATTAGGGAGTTACCTTCTTCCTTTTTCCTTAGACTTTTTTCTTACCTTAAAATTATTTTCTAGTACTCGCCTACATCTCAGCTATGACTAATTAATCAACCTTGAGTGTCCAAATGCCCCCATAGCCATCGTGCAAGCACTTAAGAGTCTCCATAAATGTCTAATCTACCCCACCTAAATTTGTATCAGTGTACCTCTAATGCATGTTCTGAAATAAGTAATAGCAAGAGTAAGGAGCCCTGAGGTGGTTACTATTCAATGGCTGGTTCTTACTGTGTCTGAATGATATATTCAAGAAGTGCTGTTGTCATCAGTGTAGATATGGGGAAGGCTGCACATTTTCAGTACCTGTTGCTGTTAAAGGCACTGGAGCTCTGCCAGTAAAGTGGTAAATGTGTGTATAAGTGATTAAAGTGGCAGTCCTAGTTCCAAGATGCCATAAAGGCTGCAACATAGTGTTTCATATATTGCTTTCTGAGCACAAACTTTCAGATTTGCTTGTAGCAGAATGCTTAATTTGTTTTCATAAGGATGGTGTAAGATTAATATTCCACTAGATTAGTCTGAGATTGAGAGGGAGAGGTTGGTGAAGGGTTGGTTAGAGGTAAGGTTTTGTATTGGGAAATAAAAAGCCAAGATCAGATGGCTGACTTGCATTTTTCCTTCTGTTCTACAGGCCGGACCATTTGAATAGCCATGTGCGGCAAGTCCACTCAACAGAGAGGCCCTTCAAATGTGAGGTATCTTCTCCCATTGAGAGTACTGCTGTATGGACACCCTTATTCAATAGATTGTGGTTACCCAAGAACTCACTTCCATGATAAAGTGGAGGAGGGGCGGAGGTGGTGGCTGATTTTTATTGCAAGTGGGAGCAAAGTTCAGGTATGCTGTGTTGAAAGGGAACCTTGGCCTCAAGCTGGTGCCATAGCCTCTAGTTGCCTCGGGAAAGCTGGCCCCTGGAGTAGCCATTCATTCCCCCATGATCATCACTGTTCCTTTGCCCCTGTTTCAACAGAGATGTGAAGCAGCCTTTGCCACCAAGGATCGGCTGCGTGCTCACACAGTCCGTCACGAGGAGAAGGTGCCGTGTCATGTGTGTGGAAAGATGCTGAGCTCTGCCTACATCACGGACCACATGAAAGTACACAGCCAAGGGCCGAATCATGTGTGTGAACTGTGCAACAAAGGTAAGGGGGCAGGCCACCGTAGGGAAGGGAATCAGAGAAAAATGCATCATCTGCATTTGAAGAGCACTAGCAGTCAAAATTGGTATTTTCAGGTAGTAAAACAAAGTTTCTTCCTTTATTAGTCCCGCTGAGAACAAAAGTCAGGCTTGCTAATCCATTCCGGTGAACGGGGTTCCCTCTAAGCTGAGTCAGTGTGAGCTAGCTCACAGTTTTTTAGCCTCCAACTCACATATTTGTCTTAGCTCAGGAAGGATGGCTCCAGAGCAAACTAATCTGTGCCGTAGCCAAATTGCTCACTCATAACTTTAATGCCGGTAGCTCACAAAGTAGAATTTTTGCTCACAAGACTCCATAGCTTAGAGGGAGCATTGCCGGTGAATAGTCTGTTTTCTTTCTCTTCCCAAATATCTCACTCTCAGATTGAACCAAACGTGCCTAATTTTCCCATTGCTTTCCCTCATTTTAGCAAGAGATTTATGCAACTTGTGACTCATGCACCTCAACACAGCCTATCAGCCATGTATGGTGACCCACCAGAGCCTCCTTAAACTTCTTGTTTTTTGCTGCCGGCCTGGGGCTCCAAAAATAAGGAGGGGGCAGGGGGTTGCTGTTCTGTAGCGGGTTACAGTGTATGACCAGAGGGCTGCATTCAGCTGGTGGGTCATGAGTTGTGCAGTCTTGCTTTAGAAGAAACAAGCTGGGTTTGAAAGAAATCTAAAATCCTTTTACAACTCGCTCTCTGTGAGTATTAAGCAAAAAGATTGCAGGTGAAGCCATCTATTTAATTGGCCAGAAGAAACTTCTTGATAACAAACAACATCATTATGCTCTTATTTATAAAGCTATTGTTCAGGTTGCCCATTTTCACAACAGACGAACAATAAAACAAATTGCTTGGCTGTTTTCACTAGCTCATAATGCCCCCCTTCTTGTTACTTGTCCAAGCATCTTGTTAATTCCATCTTCTCAGAAGCTTAAATGGCTTAAATGTTCTATAAGTGAAAGATACAAACAGGCTGTGGAGTGTTAGCTGCGCCTATTTCAGTTTTATTTATCTGACACAAGATTTAGTGAACATTAATCAAAACTGGCTGGACAATGCACAGATTAGCTGGGGAAAGTCAGAAGTAACAGGGCCTTATGAATCTTTTGATTTTAGCTGTGCTTGTCCTCTGTACTAATTTTTGGATTATTTAGCTAGATAATGTACATAATCCATTTACTCATATTAAAAATTACACTAGTAACCTAAGTAGATATCTGGATTCTCTGAATCAAAAGGAATCGATCTGTTACTAATCACTTCCTGAAATCCCATTATGGTTTTGAAGTAGCTTGTAGTGAATTACATGTAGCTGAGAAATTAGTAGTTCTGGTATGAGTGGGGGAGATCTTTTCCTCTTGATGTTTCTGATCTAAGATTGAAGTTCTGATATTTTGTGTTAAAGAGACTTAAGTTCCTACCACAGATTTATACAGTGCCCAGATGCAGCTGCCCCTAGGGCGGGGCTAGCTGTTCATACAGGGATAGATTACTTGGTACAAAGACGCAGACACCTCTGGGATGAAGAAGTTACCCTTAGGGGTGCCTGTCACACTGGATCCACACTAGGTGCTGAGACGCAGCCGCCTCCAGGGTGAGGCACAGCCAAACATTACAGGACACTGGGGTACGCTTTCAGTAGGCCGGACACTGACCTGGCTGGTTTTTGTCCTTCTCCCCCTCCCGTAGGGTTCACCACAGCGGCCTACCTCAGGGTCCACGCGGTCAAGGACCACGGACTGGCCGCCCCGCGGCTGGAGCGTTTCCTTTGCAAGCTGTGTGGCGTGCACTGCAAGACCCCGGCTCAGCTCAACGGGCATCTGCAGACGCACGCAGGAGAAGGGGCCGCGGCCACTGAGGGCCAACCGCTGCGGTGAAACGCTGGCCGGGCCACCAGGCAAGAGCCGCTTCCTTCTGTCCTGGGGAATGGGGAGGGGAGGCCCATCTGTCCCATAGGGTGTCCTTGCCTTTTAGGTGGGAGAAGGGTGAACCCCAGCTCCCCTGGGGCGGCTGCATCATAAATTAACATCCCTCTGCCAGTGTTTGAGTGCTTGTATATTGCAGTTGTCTGCCAGTTTGCAAGTATTTGCCCAGTGATCAGGAAATCTTTTGCAGCTTCCTTCCATAAGGTTGGAACCTAAAATCTGATGCTGAACTTGGCATCCTGAGGATTTGAGTCTCTAATCTTGTGAAAAATTCATTGTCTGGAAATTGGATTTGAGAGGATCCTGTTATTTTTCAGTGTGTAACAGAGAAGTATTTTGTCTCAACCATTGCAAGAAACATCAAGTAATACTGGAGACACCAGAATTATCTTGAGATTAGTTCTAGTTCCTTTCAGTTTTTACAGAATTTGACTCGAACCAAACCACACTTCTTACTCTGCAGTTTGAGAGGATAGTGATGATCACAGGATACCAGCCAGTGGATGCATTAGCTTTAGATGCTCATCGGGTGTGATGGCAGATTTTCCAGTCCCATTCACTGCTGTGGATGTATTCCATATGTTGGGCTACGTTCTGCACCACTCTTCTGGAAAGCTACAGTAAATGTAGTCCCCTGGGGGAACTAACCTGATCACTTAACCTTCTGTCATGGACTGTAGCAGCAATTACTGCTCACTTTCATAAAGTTAAGGCCTTGCAGTACTTAAGTCCTGCTCCTATATTGCCTTCAGTAGAGGGCCTCAAAAATGTCGAGTTAGTGCAGGCCAGGCCAGTTGATTCTTGTATGGACCTCGGATGATGCTGAGTGTTGTCTCTCATTTCAGGGAAGGCACTCCCCTGTAGGCCACGGGAAAACAAAAATGCTTTTTATTTAGGGGATATATTGCCACCTCTCCAGAATTCTGCTTGCGGTAAAGGAAGGGGCAGCTGCATCTGTTCTTCGCTACATGAACCCTCTACCTTAGCGCTGCACTTTAAAACGGGAGGGTGATAGGAAGGAAGCCAGGTTAAGAAACATAGCGGGTCCTGAGAGTGACCAACCACTTGACCTTGTGCGTCTTTCTTCCCCCACAGGTACGGGTGAGGTCTGCCCCCTCGCGGCAGCCGTCTCGGCCCCACCTCCTGCTGCCGTCACGGTGCTGCCCATGGAGGGAGCCTCGGTTGTGAGCCAAGCCCTCCCCACGCAGCCCTGGTGATTTGTGGGAGTGGGGAGGCAGGAGTCGACCCTCCCAGCCCCATCCCTCTCCCTCACTGGCAGCTGGAGCCTCCAAGCCCAGATGGATATGCAGTGGCCATATTTGGGTGTCTGATTTAATGGTGGTTTCATTCGCTCTCTCCCCTGCCTGTGCGCATAGAATAATGGGGCTGGGAAAGCACCTGTCCAGCTGACACAGCCTCTCTTGTTCAGCGGGCGCCTTGTTCTGAGGGTCATGGAAGGGCTTTGTGCACATCCAGAGAGCAGCCTGATTTACTGACTCCCCTGCTCTAGCAGCACCCTTAAACTTTTAGCCCCCACAAAAGCCCCCAAAATCCGTGCACCCTCCCCTGTCCTTGGCCTAAATGCTACTGTCTCTGTCACCATCAGTCTCTTGCCCATTCCAGCAGCGCCCCCTGTAAGCCCCCAGACTACACAAAAATGAGTGAGTGTGTGGGACAAAAGGACCCGGCAAGCTCAGGTCAGGCATAGAAAGTGGAGGGTTCAAGGCTGGGGTCGCTGTGGGCCACAGTTGTGGGGCAGCGTTGCAGCTGGAGGGGAGCTGAGAGTAGGTTTGATGGGGCACAGGTGGAGGGGTTGACAGAGCTTGGGGAGCCCACAGGGCTAGACGTGGGATGGGAGTCAGGACTGAGGGGTTTGCTGGGTCCCTGGAGCCCCCATCTGGGGTGACAGGAGAGGCTGTGGTGGGATGGGGCAGAGGAGGGCCTCCGTGCACGGTGCCCTCAATTCCCCCTGCTGAGGAGCTGCTCTGGCCTTCCTTCCCTGCCCAGCACCTCATTCTTCCGTGGTGTCTGTTTTAATGCTCCGTTTCCTCGGCTTATCTTGTGATTCGTGTTCCAAGCGTGTCAGCCCACCAAGCGTTGGTACCCCTCCCCCAAATAACCTTCCTTGTTGCATGCAGCCCCCCAGTTTGGGGTTAGAGTCTCTCGCTTTTTTGTATGATATATATAAACGAATCCCCTGACATTTAAAATAAACCTCTTTTGTGTTTCTTTTTTTGTTTTTGTTAACATAAAATGTAATGAAGCCGCATCCATCTATCCTCTCCCCCTGCCCCCTTCCTCAACCCCCGATTTCCTTCCCTCTTCTGTGCACCCTTCTTTCTGGATCTGTGTCTCCACAGCAAAAGATTTTAGTAAAAACATTGAAGGAAAAGTACCCGCATACTCTTGTCTTGTTTATTGTCAAACTGTTTTTTCTGTCATTTGGGGTGTAGAGGGAGAGTGTTGCATTTCCTGAGCTCTCTCGCACGGCCCACCTCCCACACTACCAGAATCTGCTCATTGGGACTGTAATGCCTATTTAAAATGTCTAATGGATCTGGCACCAGGTCACAAATCTCAGCTCTTAAGTGGATTTCCCAAAACGTTTCCTGTGATTTCCCAAGGGGTTTTCTTTCTCTCTTTGATTGTTGGTGCATTTAACTCTTCTTGAAGGGCGGAGGAGCAATTGTCGCCTGATGGCTGGGCATTTGGGAGGGCCTGTGGGGTTCCATTCAAGATTGGCAAACACGGCCCTGGAACTGTACTATGGCTGGCAAAGGGTTAATTTGTGGGTGCTTCCCCCCCCCTCCACCCCTTGCAGCAGCAGGGATAGGTTATAAATAATTGATGAGAAGCTGGAAGGGAGAGATTTTATATAATTTTCTCCTGGAGGGGGGAAAGACTGAGGACTCTGGATTCCCCCCAAAACACCGGCTGTTGCAGAACCCCCCCCCCCTCAGCTGGGCAGACAGCATCCCCCTCCCTCTGCTCAGCCTGGGATCCCCTCTGTTCCCACATGCTGCAGTCCCACCACGGGGTCTTCCCCAACCCGGTGTGGTGTCTTCTAACTGGTTGCATTCCTCTCCTGGCTGCGCTTCTCAGCAATCCCGGGGGAGCGGTGCTGGGTGCTGGGTGCCGGGGCTCTTCGGACCTTGGATACTGGCTGGACTTGTGGCTTGCTGACGTGAAGTTTTA